AAAGAATCATTCTTTTGTCAAAGTCTATTAATCTAGAACATCTCTTTTCCTATCCTTTTACAAATGACAGCCAAAATGCAAGCAATTTTCTTCTTTTTCTCTCTTTACTCAGAATGAAAATAAGAGAAGAAACAACATTCCAATAAAAGGCAACCTTTAATCCTAATTTCATAATGTTATATTGTCCAAAAGCCATTTAAGGAAAAAAAGGGTTTATATTAATATAACTGGGCAATATAGATAAAGTATTCTAAGATGGAATTTGGGAAAATCAGTTGGATGCTTAAAATTTCTTTATATTGTCAATATTTTGCTCTGTATGAGCATCCTCAAAACAACTGAAAAAATATCAGAAAAAAAATTGTTACTATGGTAACCTTGTTACTTAGAAATGCTGTGGATAATTTTTACAGTTAATAAAATTTAATAATAAATATCTGTGAACAAATCAATGAGATTTATACATAGGAAATTGTTAAAATAAAATGTAAATATGGTGATTTGATCTAGGGAAATAATCAATAAAAGAAAGTTATGTGAAGTAAAATAAAGCATTTATATCAAAAGAAAATAGTGAATATTTATAATTAAAAATGTAATTCATGATAATATTATTCAGGAAAATATAGAATTTAATTAAAATTTATAATAAGATGCTTAACTAGTATCTGTATTAATATTATTTTCTTTAAATATTAGCCAGAAAATGATATGTTATAAAACCTACTTTTTATTAATTGAATTGAATCATATCATAGCTGATTCAGTAATTCTTCTAGATCATTTATTATGAATAAATTTACTAATTTTGGCATTTTTAAACCTTCCATCTTACTTTCAGTCAGTTATGTGTCATGCATGATACACATGTAGGCGATCATGTATCTTTTGATACATGACTGGCGAGGCTAATTTTTTTTCCCGCAGTAGGTTGCCATTTCTTTCTGTGGTAGACCAGTTGCCATCCAAGGCTATAGAGCTCATTCTGTCCAGCTATTTATTCATAGCTGTGGGGGGTGATAAGAAGAGGATTCATACCTTTCCCAAGGGTGTTAGCACATAAGTGAATGTAATGGATTCAACTTGAATTCGAACTCAATTCCTCAATCTGAACTGCTATCCATTACTCCACTATGCCTCATCTTACTTTGAATATTTTAAATCAGTCATCATATAGTATACTGTTATTTACACTATTTACATTTTTTGGACTGTTGTCCTTGTCTTTGTTTCCATATTCACCAACACTTTTATCAACTAGGTTAAAAGCATTGGTTGAACCCAGTGACTTGACACAAAGAGTTGTGAGTTCAATACCTGGCTACAGCTGAGGTGAACAAAAACTTGAAGATAACTAATACTAAGACATCTAGAAGAGGCATGGCACATTGAACTAGAACACTCTGCCCCAGTGGATGAAATAAAGGGTTCAGTTTGAAATTTCAATCACCTGAAAAAGGCCAGGCCATACAATGGCCAAAACATTGTAAATATGCCAACGAAGATGAGGACAATAATCTGAACAATGTAAATAGTGTAAACAATTAAAATAATTTCTCAGAAATATAAACAGATAATATCCTGTTAATTTGAACTTTAAGTTATGAACAGAAAAGTGGACTAAATAATATTCAAGCTTTTTCATCTGCTATTGAAACTGTTTTAGTTTACAAAAGTGGAACTCTCTTTCTGTTGAAAAGACATTATTAAAAGATATTAATGGACTAATGAAGAATTAATCTTACAGATACAATATGACCTTTTTTAGGCTGATGTTCTTTTGGTTCATGAAAGTTAACCTTTCTTTCTGTTTCAATTCCTGGACAGTTGGTATGCTGATGACAATTTACACTTACAAGAAAATTATAAGCAAACATATTACAAAAGCTAGTGTAACCACCCATAAAAAAACTAAAAGTAGATTTGTTCAGTAATCTGCAATAAACAAAAGGGAATTTTCACCAGAGTTTTCCCATAATCAAGACTGTTCTTACAATGGGAAAATCCTGAAGCAGTTTAAAGAAAATGTATTATAAATTTAATAAGAAATAAATGAATCTTTATATCAAGCTCACATTAAAATTAAAATTTACTTCAGCTGAAGTACTTTTCTTTTATGTTTTAAATTTAAAAAAACAAATATATGTTAAAATGACTTGTATAAATTTCACAGATCCACCTCTATTTTTTTACCTCAAAGAAAAAAGATTAATAATTAAGTAAAAAAGAACAAAAATCTGTCTTTCTGTACAATCTTCCATAAATATTTACCTATATATAATAAAGGACAAGGATTTAAATTATTAGCTTTATTTAGCTTGTATTAAAATTAATTTATGAAAAGGAAAACTGATTGGGAAGTCAGTTTAATAGTTTTGAAACTCTTGAACTTATTAAATAAATTAACTTTGGTATTTTCTTTTTCTTTTGACAGGTGGGGCAGGATCAGGACCTCTTTTTAAGATTTTACGAAATGAGTCCATCCAAAAACTATTGAATCAAGACAATAACCTGCCTGATGACCTCAAAGTAAGAATAATGAATATTATTTTACAACTCATTGCAATGGGAGCATTTATTGTTTTATAATTATATGCAACAACAAAAAAGATCAATATGTTTGATCCTTGTCAGATATATAAATGATTATTGCTAATGATTGATGTGAGTGTGAGGTGTGTTAATTTGGAACTAGTCTATTTGGAAGTCTCTTTCTCTCCCACCCTTTCTACTTAATGAAGATAAGCCATTGTCTATATTTTAAAATTGAAGAACATTCTATAGCAGTTCTGGCGAAGCAGGTGGTGACTGAAATACTAATTACCTCAAAATTATTACTAATAAAACTGATTGAATTGACTGAATTCTCTTGCAGACAAAAGGAAATAAAAATTCTTTTATATTCCTTACTGGTTTTCTCTGATTGACATTAATTTAATTCTTATATTCCAAACTTTTCAAAGGTTTAACCTTTGGCTTTATTTACTGTCAGTGAATAGCATTGAATAAATTTCTCTATGTTAAGAGAATCAATAATGGATTCTTGGGTAGTAAGGCTACTTGTGACTCTAGAGTTAATGTTTTGGAGACATGTTGGGAAAATATGTAGCTATGTAGGTACATTTAAGATATTTTTTAACCCATATATGCTAAGGTAGCTTGCATCAGTAGACTTGGCGTGATTTATAGAAATATATAGAGCTTAGTTTCTATTGTAGGTATGTCACTAGATATATATGCAAATATTTACTGAACATAGCCAATGTTGGTATAAGGCTACATTCATGTCAAAGTATTAAGAAACAGGAAATTTCATTAGAAACAAAGAAAAGAGTGTTAAACTGTTATTTAATATCTACCACGTTCATCTCATTTAAATTTAAATTGCTGGTTTAGTGATTTCCTCCTTCCATTTTCCAAGTTCATTGCATGTTCTTAGAAGTTCTTTGTGCTTTCATGAATTGTACTTATTTCAGTCAACAGACATAGTTTCCCACTCAGAATATGGCAGGCTGAAAAAGATACTTTTAAACAGTCCTTGAAGCACTTTATTGGTTTATGCTGGGGGAGAGTGCCATAGAGTAACTCACTGTAGAGCATTTTGAGGGTATTCTACTGTCTTCAAGGTGAATGATATGCCCTACCCAATAAAGCACAGCATTTCAGTTTCTGTATGCATGACCAAGTCATAGTTACACACATAAAAGAGATCACAAATAAGAACCAGTAGAATTTTGATTTGGGCAATGAGATGGTATATGTTAAAAGGTTTTCCAATGCTCTGGTACTTGATATAGATTCCTTGATTGTAATCTCTGAAAGCATTAACAAGGATGATAGAAAAGAAATTGTTTGGTGTAAGCAAGTTTTACTTCTTCACACCAATTTCAACCTTGAAAGTTTCCATAAGTGTACCTCCAGCATTAATCTCTATATTATCATGGAAGGACCTGATCAGTTTGACAATATGATCAGGAAATCCCAACTTGCCTAGAATCTTCCAAAGTGTCTCTCTGTTAACAGTGTCAAAGGGCTTCATCAAATCAACAAATACCTGGAACAGACTTCTCTTGTATTTGGCATATCACGAAAATGATGTCAGTTGAACTTCTAGTCTGACAGAAACTATAGTGACACTTGTAGGAGTGTATTCATGATTTCAGCATTAAGTCATGACAGAGGTATATTTTCCAGCATCTTTCCACCTGATGACAAAAGAGTAATGCATCTTTAATTTCCATACACTTCATCTTTACGTGGCACTTTACCTTTGTACAGAGGAATCATAATGTCATCTGACCAGTTCTTTGGAACCTCAAATTTCTCTGACAGATTTGATATGACAGTATGCATAACTTCTACAATGTGCTCACCTCCAAATTGAAAAATCTCAAAAAAGGGCTCATCTTTCCCCACTGCTTTTCTGAGTTTGTTGATGGATATCTAAACATGGTTGGCAAGTAAATCAGTGAATCAACAATGGACTGTTGCTTTCTCCATACAAGGGCTGCAAAGTCAACTTGGGATTTCCTGTTTAACAGCTTAGAAAAATGTTCTTTCCACCTGTTTGAGATTTTGTCCATCATAGACAATGAACTTAATTGTCATCTTTTGATCTCAAAGAGGTGATTCTGTCTGTTTTGAAGCCAGACTATTGCTTCCTCAAGCTATAGACTGCCTTACTGTACATCATGTCAGCAGTAGTCTGTATTTCTGCTACAAGGGTGAAGCACCAGGTGTTCTGCATGGAGCACAGGGTGCCTTGAGCATCAGCCTTTGCTCATTTCACTACCTCACTAAGTTGGCATTCATGATCTTTCAACAGGTCTTTCTGCATCTTTCATTCATACATACATACATATGAATGTTGATATATATGGACAAAATAATATAGATTCATAGATAAACAAACCAAGATAAAATATCAGTCTTAGATGCTAAGCAAGCTAGCTGTATAGGCAGATACATTTATATAAATATGAACAAAATGAAATGGAAACAAATATAGATAGATAGATAGATAGATAGATAGATAGATAGATAGTGATGTTTAAACATTATTTAAGTCCTCTATGGAAAAAAACTAAGCAGAAACACTATCAATATTAATTTATAGGAAACAATATCTAATAAAGGAAAAAATCTAGTTTGAAACAATAGCAAAAAGCATAAAATGAAATTCTTCGTTTGTTCTTTCCACAGTTAGAAAAAGTCTTTATTTTCTCATCTCAATCACAACTTGGAACACATTTGAATGCTCTAAGCACTTTTCTCTAAACATGAAAAGACTTTGCTTTGTAAATCAGCAAAGATAATTTTTCTTTTTTTCCTTCTCACATTTTTTCTGTTTTCCTATTCTTTCTCTTTTTCTTCAAATTGTATTTCTTATTCTTTTTTTCATATTCCTCCTATTCTCTTTCTTCTTCTTTTATAGTTTTTTCTTCACTTTCTTTTGCTTCTTTTTCACTTCTACTTGTTTACATTTTTTCTGTTTTTTTCTTTACTAACCTGTTCATCTTCCTTCTTTTTTTCCACCATTTTTTTTCTCCACATCTACTCCTATTTTCCTCTTTTTATTCACCTCCTTATTCTTTCTATCTCTTTATCTCTTTTCTGTTTTCTTTTTCTCATTCAGTCTTTTTATCTCTTCCTCTTTTTGCCTCCTTTTTCCCTTTTCTTTCTCACACTCTTTTTTCTTCTCATTACTTCTTCACTCTTTCTTCATAATTTTCCACCTCCAACTTTCTCTCTTTCTTTTTCTCTTTCTCAATTGGCTGCCATTTCCCATTTGTGCTCAACTTACAACAAACTGCAAAATTTTTCCAACACCCATCTCCCCAAAAATTGTCTGCCCTTGTTTGCTTTGAATTTTCTATAATTTACGCTCATTGCTACTTTTTTTTTTATCTCTGCTGTAATCAGAGAAAATGGTGTTACATGTTTCCTTCTGAATCTCCAGAGATTCTTGCCATTTTTTGATGAGTCATTTCACTTTCTCAGACTTTTTCTGATATTTTTCTAACCCTTTTGACAATTCATGGGGTACACAGAAATTGTTGTGCCACTTTATATTTCAAAATACCACATTTGACAAAAAATATTACCGTTTCACTGTCACCTGATCCAGCAATGATAGCAATTTAATTTATGGTAACCCATTGATGCCTGATGCTGACAAGCTTCTTTTAACTGCAAAAATGACTGAATGTCATTTTATGCTTAATCATTTCATGCAGAATGGTGAGTGTCATGATCATTTCCTTATAAGGAAACATTCAGCATTCATTGACCAAACAGCCAGTGTTACTTTCAGTTGACATTTATAAAATCTTTCTATTAAAAAAATTCTCAGGAAAATAGGTTTCTCAAGTCCAGTAACTGTTATTGCTCCTTCCAGTACTGATTGTCCTTCCTAACCTTTTGCTTGAAGTAATGTGGAATATCAACATCTTGACTATGTCATTATTCTCTCTTCAGGTTGTATATGGGTGAAACTACCATGAGTGCAGCTATTCTATCAGGTCATCCCATAAGTTCTGTCCAAATTTTAACTTTTTGTTAAAATGAACAAAATTTAAAGAGTATTTTATAATGTCTAATGGAGCTGAATATTATTTTTATGTTTAGATACATTTAAACTGATCAATTTTTATTTCAGAGAACAATAAAATTAAATTTTGCTTGATTAAAACCCTGCTAACATGGAAGTACCCAAGAATCATTTCAGGCACATAATGAGTTCAAGAAAGGAAACTCAGCAGCTGAAGTAGCTAGAAACATTCACTCAGTTTATGGAGAGGAATGTGTGAATGAAAGAACTTGCAGAAGATGGTTTGCAAAATTCAGAGGTGGAGATTTCACCCTTGAAGATGAAGATCGAACCAGACATCCAGTTGAGTTTGATGAAAAGCTTCTTGAAGCAGCCTTTGAAGAAAATCCTGCTTTATCAGTTGAGGAATTGGCAGTGGTTCTCAGTTCAAACCATACAACTGTTCATCGTCATCTTCAACAACTTGGAAAAGTTCCTAAACTTGGAAAATGGGTGCCTCATGAATTGTCTGAAAACAACCTCAAATCCCGAGTTGACATCTGCTCTTCTCTCCATTCTCGCCAACTTGTTTCACCTTTTTTGGATAGACTTGTGACTGGCGATGAAAAATGGATCTTTTATCGAAATGTTAGACGTCATAGACAGTGGTTTGGTAAAGGGGAAGGACCCCAGCCACAGCCAAGAAGGGAACTTCATGGGCAAAAGGTTCTTCTTTCAATCTGGTGGGATCGCCAAGGAATAATCCACTTTGAATTCTTACCACCTAATGCAACAATTAATGCTCAAATATACTGTCAACAATTAGAGCATTTGAACCAAGCTTTGAGGAAAAAAAACCTGCTGTATTGAATAGAAAAGGGGTGATGTTTCATCAGGACAATGCACGACCCCACACAGCAAGAATCATGTCACAAAAGATTGAAGAACTTGGTTGGGAGAAAATTCCTCATCCACCTTATTCTCCCAATTTTGCTCCTTCAGACTACCATTTGTTTCGTAGGTTACAGAATCATTTGGAAGAAACAGCTTTTGTAACACAGGAAGAGGTTAAAACTGACATTTGTGAGTTCTTTGAATCAAAGCCAAAAGAATTTTACAGTAATGGATTTAGTAAGCTTGTTAATAGATGGAAGGAAGTCATAGATAATCAGGGAAATTACATTGTTGATTGAATCTGTAATTAAATGTAGCATTTTGTCACTTGTTTTCTTTATTCAAAATTCAGACAGAACTTATGGGATGACCTGATATATTCAATTTTCAGAAGGTAAAATATCAGTAATTAGTAAAATGTATATTTGGGGAGGGAGACTGAAGCTCCTTATCATGCAATAAAGATGTTGACTTTGCAGAATAGGAACTCAAAAGAACCAAACTTGGGCTTTGTTTCCCTTTTAAAATCCTTTACAAAACATAATAATATATAGAGATTCTTATGTGGGAAGTTAGTCAGGAAATTGATTTCTTAATTAATCTCATAGTTGGTATGAATTTAAACCAATGGACAAGGTTAAGTTTTTACCTTCTGTGCTCTATACAGGTAAAAATTCCATTATTTTAATGACACTTGCATATTTCAAACAGCTTATCTACCACTATACTGTTCTTTTGTCAGTTAATGAAATTCACAAACTTTGTAATGTTTTTGTCAGCTTTTTTTTTAAGTCAACATTACAGCCATCTTTCTGTGACCTCGTAATTGTTTTACTATTATCATTTTATTAACTGATTTAGAACCAGCTATAATGTGAAAACCTTATCACTGGCTGCAAATAATTTAACAAACATTTAAGAAAATAATTTTTACATGAAGGTTATCAAATGCAAAGTGAGGCAATTTTTTCCAGTATAATTATTAAAAAGAGGGAAGAATTATATATATATATACACAAACAAAATTCTCATCTACAGACCACCATCAATGGACTTCGGGTGCAACGGACAAAATCTGCAGGCAAAATAAAATAAAAATCTGCAGGAAAAAAAAATCCCAAATCATCAGCAATGTATTTCAAAATGTGCGGGCTTAGTAGAATGAGTTGTATTAATTGCCAAAGTGACCAATTGTAAACAAAGACAGAAAGTATGATACATTAGTACATGCATGAGAAAGTAGCTGCAAGAAATCTATTATTTTTGTTATTTTGATTAATATATCTATATTAAGTAGATATTTATTCATGGCATATATTCATATTTATAGACTTTACATTATTATCATAACTACTGGTAGTTACTATTGTGGTTATATAATTCAAAAATAATCCCTTCCCATCTATGGACAATAAGCTTTAATAGAACACCCCCTCCCTCTATTAGTCTGTTGATAAGAGGTTTGTCTGTATATCTATATATATATATATATATATATATATATATATATATATATATATATATTGCACATATAGTGCTAGTGTTAATAAAATGGTGCTCAATGTAATACAACAGAGCTATTAAGTATATATTAATAAATACACATATTATCCCTCAACAATAACACAACTCAGAGTTTCATGTAGAATGCAATCTTCTGAAGATTGCATTGTACATAAAACTTTGAGTTGTGCTATCCTTACACAGTTGGTTTTAAAAATATTTTAGAATGTTTAGAAAATTTGAAAACGTAATGATATTTTTCCTCTATTTTACTTCTGTTTATAAATACAAGATGCAAAATAAAATCACTATACTTACCTTGATAAAGTTCTTCAGGGGTTGAAACGTATTGGTTGAGAAAAGTTTTCTTTTTATCTTCATTTGCATTGTTTTTTCAAATATATTTTATACATATATATATTGCGATATTCATAGGTTAATTAAATTTAATATAAATTAAAAAATAACAGCAAATTCCCATGCTGTTAAATACATTAAAAGATTTAAAATAACTAAAGCATCATATTTAAAATAGAGGTAACACAGTTTTTCAATTAGAGACAATGACTGAAATTGGTCAAAAGCTTAAAATATTTTAGAAACATGAACTGTGGACAGTTTCTTCACAATTTCAGTCCTAACATGCAGAAATTCATCTGTTAATTAGTGGGAAATATTTTAAAATATGCCTGGCAGAATCTGTCAATTTTATTTAATGAAACATATTGAAGTAAACATTTTCTACCTATATACACCCATTATATAGAGCGATTATCTAACTTTATATATATATATATATATATATATATATATATATATATATATTTATTAATTATATATATATATATATATATATTATATAAATTGGAGACTTCAGAAAGAAAGCAATGGTAATATTTTATTTTGCAAAATTGAGAATTCGGTTTCACTTCATGTTGTTTTCAAAACAATGAATGAATTAAAAAAAAAAACTCAATTTTGCAAAATAAAATATTACTTTCTGAAGTCTCCAATTTATTAATTAATTATCACTTGTTCTGTTATTACATTGAGCTCTCGGGATTTATATCCTCCTGAATTATCCATATTTTATTATATATATATATATATATATATATATATATATATATATATATATATATATATATATATATATATATATATATATATATATATATATATATATATATATATATATATATATATATATATATATATATATATATATATATATATATATATATATATATATATATATATATATATATATATATATATATATATATATATATATATATATATATATATGTATATATATATATATATATATATATATATATATATATATATATATATATATATATATATAGCTCTGCTCATTCATGTACATGTAACTATGTATTTGTTTTCTTAACTGACCTTTTTTTATATACAACTTATTCTGATATATCTTAATCCTTCATGGGTCAACTTAAAACCAAAAATATTTTTATGACTTCAAGTCTAATTCCAATTCAGTCTGCTTCAATTTTTTCTTCTTCTCTTTTCCCAAGCAATTTTTCCTGCCCATCTTAACTTTTACTTGAGGCAATCTTTCTATTCTTGCTACCAATCATCAACAGACCAAATCAGTTTTATTTTGGACAGACTAGTGGAGATGAGAGGGGGCAGTTTTTGTCCTCTTCTAAAGTCCAAATTCCAATTGATTCTCCTCTTACCATCTCACTTACTGCCTCTCTTTATCTCCATTTATCATTTTCTCATGCAATTCTATTTCTTTTTCTCTCTTTTAATTCTTTGTCATTCTTTCGATTCTCTTCCTCTTTATTCCTCTGTCTCTTCCACCATTTCCTCTTTCTTTCCTTCTGTATCTTTCTTTTCCCACCTTGTATTTGTCTCTTTTTCACTCTTCTTCTCTCTCTTCCTACAACTGTATCAAGTTCTTGTTTGTTTCTTTTTTTAATATTTTCTTTTTCTCTTTTTTTCTGTTGCTCTTCTTTTTTATTTCTCCTTTCTTAGATTTCTATTTGCTACTTTGTCTCTCTTTCTCTTATTACTTTCTTTTACCCCCTTTACCTTCCTCATTCTTGCTTTCGTCATGATTGGCCCTTTACTTTAGGCACCATACTTTCTATTTTTTCAACCAATTAGTGAAACTGAAGTGGAAATTTACTTCTTTTCCCAAATTTACTTTATCCTACTCTTGTTAACTGCATCAAACTTGATGTAAGCACAGCCATAGAAGAACTGAAGTAGTCAAGTAGGCATTGATAGAAAAAAAACTTGCTTAAGGCTTCTACCTGCTGCTTAACTCTTGCAATTTTTTTACATAGACCAAATTGAAATGCAAGGAAAAATCCAATACCCCCATCTTTTGAGTGACAAGAATACTAGCTGCAGCCTATGGTAAAATGATCATTTGAAGGGTCAGCATATTATAGCACTGAAATTTCAAAATACTTTGATTTTGTAATAGATATACTAGAGTGAATTTCCTATAAAATTTCAGATATAAAAATGAAATATTTAGCTTAGACAAAATCTTTCAAGAACTTCATATTTTCCTGTTATTTTAAACTGTTTTTTATTTTTAATAAGTAATCTTTAAAATGATGTCAGGTCATTCTACAAATACTACTGGCACCATATAATCCAGTACTAGCTGCCACATAATCAGGTAATCAGTGACTAAACCAGTTCCTCCACTAGGCATTTCTGGTGGCTAGACATGCAGGATTAAAAACAAGACTTGTCAAAAGACAGATGAATTTTCTTGTCAATGGCCATCTATCACAATGAAGTAGACTAGACTCTATAGCTATGTATGCAGCCCATGTGATGAGAACATTGCATCATCAGGCATTGGGCTTTCAAGACTGAAAATGGCCAGGGTGGAGAGCTCCTATAATTGAATCAACCACATGTCTGTGACCAAGGCAAGACTTGAAGTTTGAGGACATTTGCTGTAGTTTGACTTGGAGATTTGACGTCTTGACCAAGCCCATGATGTACTATGTATAAATGAATACCACTCTAGCTTTCGACCTAATATGTAGAGAAAATAGTCAGCTGAGCAGCAGCCCTATGACCTCACCTAGTCATGTGACTGATGATGAATTTTTAAAAACAGAGAAGAATTTTTAGAATAAACATTTAGATTTTCTTGAGCAAAAATATGAATCCCTGATGTCATTATTTTTATATATTCAGTTTTTATGGTTCCAGGTGGCCAAAGAAATTAAATAATGACCTTTAACTTCTTTCTCTTTTTTAATAATACCTTGTTAACCAGATTCTCAAGAAGAAATGAAAACAGTTTGTTTTCTTGTTCTGTTTTTAAAACAGAATTCATATTTTTTTGTGATATCACTGAATGGGAGTTTTGAATTATATGTCATTGACAGGACATTAAGTGTTAATTAACTGAACAACTGATAAATTTGAAAGTTTATTTTAAAGTAGCTTTCTCATGAAGAATCTGTTGCAAATTTTGTTTTACATCTAATTACAGATATTTAATGTCTACAGTCCTAATTTTCTATAATCACATACTGATGTCAAAATAATGGTTGATAGGAATTTGCTTGGTGGGTTTTATGACATTTCAATTTCTGTTGAGTTATTTAATGTTAAATTATGTATCTAGCACCCAATAAGGATCAAACTTACGAGTCAGTAGTAAAGGTCAACCAGATTAGTCTCACTAATCATTACCCTTCACCAAGGCACCATTAGGTTAAGTTGGTTGATTTCTGAAATTTAATGTAGGTGTTACACAGTGAGAATCCAAATTCACTATTCAGTAATAATTGTCAACCAGACTCACCTAACTAAGCATTATTCCATGCCAAGGCACTTAAGTTAGATTCAGTTGGTTGATTCAACAATATGTCAACCCTTGTTGGGTTATTTAATGTTGAATTTTGTATGGGTTCCCAGTGAGGATCAAACTCACTATTCAGTAGTAATGATCAAGTAGATAAACCTAAATAACATTACCCAACACTAAGGCAACTAGGTTAGGTTTGGTTGGTTGATTTTATATCTAAACCTTTGTTGGATCATTTAATGCTGAATTTTGCATGAAGCACCCAATGAGGATTGAACTCCCTATTCAGTAGCAATGGTTAACTAGATTAGTCATACTAACCATTACTGCACACCAAGGCACCTTTAGGTTAGGTTGGATTTTTTAATATCAAATTCACCTAGTGAAGATCAAACTCATTACTCAGTATTTTTTTTTTTACTTTAGTTTGCCAAATACAAGGCCCAAGGCTCACTGAGTGAGAATGTTGTAAAGGAGGGGGAAGGATAAAGGGTTGCATATTATGAGGATATGTAGGGTAAATATCAGTTGACTTAAAATTGTAGTGGTTGGGGATTCATCCACTCAGGAGTCTGCTCCACAATGTAACAGTTCTGAGGAAGAAGCTGTCTGAGTGGAACTTGTTCCTTACTAAAGGAATACAAAGAGAATAAGGATGATTTGATGCCATGTATGTGGCATGGGTTGTCCCAACTGTGACAGTCTGAACTGGTGGAACATATAAATGTAGATCATTTGAACATTTGTCATAGTAATAGCAATAGGGTAGTGAGAGGCTAACAATGTTTCATCTGTGGGACAGGGTTTGCAGGGTGGAGAATAATTCATCACACACAATACAGTATAATTGCTTTTGAAGTCTGTCAAAACTGGACAGTGCAGCACCAGCCCAGTAATATGACAGTAATACTCCATTCTTGGTCTAATCTGATTCTTGTAAAGATAGTAGGAGTTAGGTATTTTCTAGATCAATAAAAGGAACTGAACATACTTCCGGCACCTTCAGAAATGGTATGAATATGTAAGTTCTATTTGAGGTCTGGAGTGAGCTTTAAATCCAATAGACATTTGAGGCAAAGAGCCTCATTGAGAGTATGATCACTCATCAAGAGTGGAGCAAATTTAACATCTGCTCAATGGTGATGAAACATTACTAGCTTTGTTTCCCCCATTGAGCTGTGAGAGCTAAGTCAGAAGAGAGATCAGCTGCCAGGATCTGGTCAACTAGATATTTAGGGGTGCACCTATTCACCACAGTATCAACTACATTTATATTTACTAAAGATATGAGAATGCTTATAGGCAGATCATTGATATCAAGCAGAAAAGAAGGCAGAAGCAAGAAGAGAGCCTTGAGGAATGCCAGTATTGATTTCATGAGCCTATCAACTACCTTCATAGGAAACCTGATAGGAAAGGCTTGACAATTGAGAAAACTGTTCCAGATATTCCATAGCTGGAGAGTTTGTGTAGTAACTCCTTATACTATACCTCATCAAAGGCCTTCCAGATATTTCAGTCAATCACTCTGAAGATGTGTTTAATATCAAGTGTTCACACTGATTCAGTGTTAAAACATCAGCAGTTGATCTAGAGGAGCAAAAACCATACTGTTTGTTGCTCAGGAGTTTTTTTTTTTTCTGTTGAGGTGATCAACAACTTCCTTGTTGATAACAATTTAAAAAAGTTTACTGATGACACTAAAGAGGCTGATGGGGTGATATTGTGATATGGATGAAGGCTTACATGGACTTCTCCTTCAGGCAGCAGTTAAACAGCTTTAACAAGATTGGAAATAGTCCTGGGCTAAGGTTCTCGAGAACAACCACAAGGATTTAATTTAGACCAGTAACCTTCATAGTCAAGGCTTTTGATAAGTCTGTAATAAATAATAATGGTCAACCAGACTAGCCTTGCTAACCATTATCCTATGCTAAAGTACCTTAAAATAATTCATAACAAGAGAATTGTATTGGAAAAAATTGGATTCATTCTTTTTGTATGGCATTTAGTATAAAGATTACATAAGCAGTTTGGGTTTTTTTTACGGTAAGGCTCACACTGTACAAAGTTTGGGGGCTACTTGAAATAGAGAGTTACATCAGTAGGCAGTTTGTATGAATAGGAGGGGAATTTGACCCTAGATTTGAATAGATTAAGATTTGGGAGCAGTGGTTCGCAGGAAGAAGCTGTTCAAGTGGAACATACTTCTCGCTGATTGAATACAGAAGGAATGTGTGTGGTTTGCTACAATGTAAGTGGTATGGTGGGTCCTCGCCATGAAGGTTAGAACGAGCAGAACCAAGGAATGTATTTCATCCAAGCACTTTCCATGAAAGTAGTTGTTGGGGCGCACCCACCTTCTAACTAGTAATGGACTGGTCCCTCTTATATAAGTCAGCTCTGGAGAGAGAGTGACGGAGCGTCAGAGAGAGAGTCAGCGTGAGCAGTCCAGGTAAGCTTACCGGTACATACCATTGGACTATAGACTTTGGATATTGTTTCGTACTAACCAACCTTCGTTCTACTAATCACTCTATTGTTAATTGCTTTTATGAATATACCAGTATTTTCCTCTACAACTGTGTTTGTCTTGATTCATACACCAACACACAGGAAACTCACAACATCTCAACAGTAGTGATAGAGAAGGAAGAGACTTGCCACACATCTGGGGGTGAGAGGTTTACAAGTCATATGTGAACTTGGTTTGTTGATTCTCTTTTCTCGCATAACTTTTGTCAAAAAATAATTTTTAGAAATTTTCAGTGTTCAAAAGTAAAACATTTTCTTTTATTTTGTTTAATCCATAGATTTACAATGTCCTTTCTAAATTCAATATAACAGGACTCCTTCCAATTAATTCTTCTCTTGTTGCTATGGTGATGTTACTTTTGGTGCAATCAAACAATACTGAGTCTTCAATTTAGGATACAAGTACAGCTATGAAAAAAAGACTGTGGATGAAAAAAAACATTTTGATGCTGCAGATGAAACCCAATCAGAAGTATAGAAAAATTTCTCATTTTTTTTTCTTTGTACTAACTAAAAGAGATTCCTTATTTTTATAACTTGAATTGATATTGAAGTAAAAATTAAGAAGAAAGTGAATATATCTCTGTCCATCTTCATGAAAACACTCCAGTATAATCATGCCATCAGATGCTTTATCTTGTCCTTTTTTTTATCA